CTGGTGAGGGAGGCGCTATTTGCTCTCACCCCTGCCCTCTCTGGCAGAGGATGGTCCTGCCTCCTCCAGGAGCCTCCCCGCTTCCACCCCCAACGCCCCAGCTAATATGCTAATGACCTGGTCCTTACCCATCACAGTGTCCTGCTCATTAGCATATTAGCTCTTTATTAGTATAGATAATTATAGTACAATGTTGTTGTCTAAATTCATTATACTGCGCAATAGATTTCTATGGCTTGTTTGTTACTTATTACAAGTTTGCACTCTTAAAAACCATCACACTTATCCATCACCCTCCCCCCAACCCCCTATTAACCACCATTTTACTGTTCTCTTTTATTATGGGTTTAACTCAGTGATTCCCAAAGTGGGTGCTACTGCCCCCTGGTGGGCGCTGCAACGATCCAGGGGGGCGGTGATGGCCACAGGTGCATTTGTTTTAACTTTTTTGTATTACCTTTCTATTCTGAGTTCAATAAATAGTTTCATAATTTCAAACTTCAATGTTTCTAATTTACACCTTTCTTTACTATATTTTACGAAAAAGGTAGAAACATTAATACATATATCTTTCTGTTTAATTGCTATTAAAATTTAAAAAAATTAATTTCCAGGGGGCGCTGAATAATATTTTTTCTGGAAAGGGGGCGGTAGGCCAAATAAGTTTGGGAACCACTGGTTTAACTTTTTTAGATTTCACATATAAGTGATATTCTGTAGTACTTGTGTTTTTCTGTTGGACTTATCTCACTTAGAATAACACGTTCAAGGTCCATCCATGTTTTTGTAAATGGAGGATATCTTTCTTCCTCATGCCTGAATAATATTCTATTTTGTATATTTACCACTTATTTTTTATCTATTCATTCGTTGATGTGCATTTGGGTTGTTTCTATATCTTGGCTATTGTGAATGATGCTATGATAAACAAGAAAGTGCATGTATCTCGTTGAAATCTTTTCATTTCCTTTGGGTACATGCCCAGAAGTGAAAATTGCTGGATCGTATGGTATATCTATTTTTAATATTTTGAGGAACCACCATATTGTTTTCCATAGTGGTTGGACAACTATATATTCCCTCTAAGGTTCCTTTTTCACCATATTCTCTCTGGCACCCATTGTCTCTGGTCTTCTTGATGATGGGCATTCTAACATGTGTGAGATGATATCATGTCATTTTGATTTGTATTTCCCTGATGATTAGTGATGTTGAGCAATGATTTTTACACTTTATTCTTGAGTTAATTTGCAGGTATAAGGAAGGGAATATCAGTATATTAACATTATTAGTATTTATTCAATAAAATATTTTGAAAGTCTATTCTATTCCAGAAAGTTTTAGGCACTGGGCACATGACAGTGAACAAAACAGAAAAAGTTCCTTCTATCCTGGAGCTAATAATCTAGTACAGATCTTAATTTCATATGTTGTAACACAAAATTTCAATGTCTCTAACTATTGTGATGATCATAACTATAATAAATTAATACTTGGAGGTTTAATTCATGGAGAATTATGCTTCAGAATCAGAATCCCATTAACCTGGATCTTGTTCTTCTTTTTTCTAAAATCCTCACCCAAGGATATGCTTATTGATTTTAGAGAGAGAAGAAGGGAGGGAGTGGAGGGAGAGGGAGCGGGAGAGGGAGAGGAAGAGACAGTCAGACAGACATCGATATTGACTGACTGCCTTCTGTACGTGCCTGACTGGGGATGGAAGCCACAACCTCAGTATGTGCCCTGACCAGGAATCAGTATACAGAACCATGCTCCAACCAACTGACCCACAGCAGTCAGGGCTAGATCTTGTTCTTTTATGCAATAATCATAGAAAATATGTTCAAAATTTTTTTTCAATTCAGAAATAATACACATTAGTCTATGAGATTAAAGGTGTTCCATTTTTAGCTGTTTTTAAAGAGTGAATTTTGGCTCAATTGAAGGTTTAATCTCTTTTCAGTGAATTAAAAGACAATCATAGCTTCATGGTCTGAGAGTGTGGTTAATTATATAACCTTCAAAAACATGAATTCCCTGTATCCCAGGATTCAGTTCATGGTACATATAAGTTAACAATCTCAGGGGATATGGGAAAGCTTTGTGGGAAGAAGGTTGTGTGTGTGTTTTATGGGTGAGGGGAAAATATCAGCAAATGCGGGGAAAATTCCAAGCAGTTCCTGGAATCAGTCACTGCCTCCTCGGGGAGCTAGTGATGAGCTCAACTGGGCTGAGAAAAATCTGTGCAGCTGTCAGCACTGACCGCATCCCACCCTGAGGCCCCGCCAAAGGTCTCCCTTAGTCCTAACGGACAAAGGGAAGAGCACAGGGTACAGTCTCCAGTTGAACCGCATGTGCATATTAATGTTCTGCCTGCACTTGGGTACCTGGAGCACAATTAGGGGGAGAACGCTTAAGTAATGTACTCAGAGAGGAGATGTGCAGGGCAGAAAAGCAGCAGATCTGACCTCCCAGCTGAAACACAAGGAGAAATAAACACCATGTAGATGGCACATCATGGAACCTTATAATCAGATCTCCTTATTTGATTACTGTAACCCATAATGTATTCCCACAGTGAGTTTCATGAGGAATGCCAGTAGAATGGTTCGGCTGTGATGAATGCCTTGGCCTTTTGAGTTTCGAGTCTGTGGCAGCTTTTTGAGCAAAAACCTATCTCATGGATCCAGTTCTTTAAAAAGAGACATTCAGATTCTTTATTTCAGACTCAATTCTCCTTTGCTAGTTCCATAACCTTGAAAGATCTTCGGTTGCAATTTAAATGGCAATGAAAAACCATTTTTCATCTATCAGATTGACAAATTTAAGAGTTGATAACATAGGATAGGGGAAGGGGAGGGAAACAGAAGCTCTCATCATTTGCTGTAGGAAATGCAAATTGGTATAGACTCCATGCAGGATAATTTCCCAACGTTCATAAGAATTAGAATTTAGAAATGCACATATATTTTGATCTTGCAATTTCATTTTTAGGAATTTATCTTACAGACCTACTTTTAAATAGATGAAATTACATGTCTAGGAATATTTATTGCATCATTGTTTTAGTAGCAAAAAGTTGGGAATGTGCCAAACGCCTATCAATAGGGATTGAATTAAGTATGTACCAGTCATGCAAAGGAACACCCTGTGGTCTTTAAAAAGCAAGATATAGTTTTTCATGAATTTATTAACTGATAAAAACTATACCGTATGCATACTACCATTTGTATATGTATATGTATTCTATGTGCATATGTGTGTGGTTTAATGTGTGTGTATATAGGGCAGACAAAAGTAGATTTATGGTTGTGAGTACCTGAAACAGAGTTTATAATATCTTTTTTTAAATCCTCACCAGAGGATATTTTTACTGATTTTATTTTTATTTATTTATTATTATTTTAATATATATTTTTTATTGATTTTTTTTTTACAGAGAGGAAGGGAGAGGGATAGAGAGTTAGAAGCATCGATGAGAGAGAAACATCAATCGGCTGCCTCCTGCACACCCCCCACTGGGGATGTGCCTGCAACCAAGGTACATGTCATTGACTGGAATCGAACCTGGGACCCTTCAGTCCGCAGGCCGACGCTCTATCCACTGAGCCAAACTGGTTAGGGCTATTTTTACTGATTTTAGAGTGAGAGAGAGAAACATTGATGTATGAGAGAAACATCAATCGCCTCTCATATGTGCCCCAACCAGGGATTGAACCTGCAACCCAGGTATGTTCCCTGACCGGAAATCCAACCAGCAACCTTTTGGTGCATGAGGTGATGCTCTAACCAATTGAACCACACTGGCCAGGGCCAGAGTTTATTCTTGTATTATTATTTACTATTACATTATTTTCCATATGAGCAACTGTAAGCCTACTTTTGCCGTGTGTGTGTGTGTGTGTGTGTGTGTGTGTGTGTGAGTGTGTGTGTGTGTGTGTGTGTGTAATGATAAGTGGTAACCTCAGAGAATGGGAGCTGGGTGGCCGAGGGAGGGTGTGGCAGAGAGATTTCCTTTTCATCAAATGCTTTCTTGTCTCTTACAAAATTTTTAATGTGCACATGTTTTACCTATTTTAATTAACAAAATATGCTGCTAGGCCCAGTAAAGGTAGAAAGTAGAACATTTAACTAGAAGACTAATATAGGTAGACATGCCTTTGTTAACAGAATTGACTGGATAAAAGTTATCTGCCTAGTGCATTCTTACTTTTAATTAGAGCTGATACACATTTAGAATGCCTCTGGAAGAACCATCTGCTTTGGATTGGTCTTGTGTAACCTTGTAATAGTAAAATATTCATAATTTTTATGATACACTGTATTATAAAACACAATCAGACCAAATATAACTGGGATTCTGTAGTAAGAAAAAAATTGTGGAAAGGGAGAAATGGTTGATGTTGACAGGGAGGGAGAAAAGGAGAGAGAAGGGGGAGGGAGTGAGGGAGAGAGAGAGAGAGAGAGAGAGAGAGAGAGAGAGAGAGAGAGAGAGATAGAGAGAGAGAGAGAGAGGAAGGGAAAGGAAGGGAAGGAAGGGAAGAAGGAAAAGGGAATTTGTCCTTGGGAATTGAGTGACCTCAGTTTAGGACTGAAGATTAAGACAGTTCAGCAAAAGAAACAAAGGAGCTACTGGAGAAACAAAGAAAGCTATTTTGACTACTTGATTTTTATTTAATCTGAGAGTAATTGATGAAGCATGGTGATTTTATTAAGCAGTAGTTTCTGGAAGGAACATGGAGTGAATCAGAAAACTTCAGTTAAATTTTGGACTATGCAAATGCGAATATTTAAAATGGAGTACTTAAAATGTGAATATTTATGATGATGATATAGAATTCCCAGCCTTACTGGAATTAATCATGTTGTGGCGGCATAATTGAGTCACTGACATTTTCAGTGCAGAAATATAAATTGCAAGGAAGAAAATTAGAACCATAACAGGAGCAGATTTTATGGGTTTGCTTCTCATTTTTTCTTTCTTTCATTTTTTTTTTCAGAGTAAATGGGAAGTTGGTAGCCCTGAAGGTGATCAGGCTGCAAGAAGAAGAAGGTACACCTTTTACAGCTATCAGGGAAGGTAGGCATTTTCTCTTGTTATCTTTGCTTTTGTGTTTGCATGATATCTGTAACTGTTTAAATATTATGCACCTCTGAATATGCTGAGTTTTTAAATTATATGGTTATCTCTCTTATTGGAATGTGTAAACTGAAATTTAAAGGTAGTACCTCTTACAATCGTATCAAGTCATATTAAGTGAAATGAGACCATCCTGCTGCATACTCAGGTGTGGGAGACAAACAAACTGCTGTGTATTGAAGATGAGATGATCACTAACTGATTGAAGAATTTCATATTTCTGACTTTGTTTGCAGAGCTCCTAAGGTACATATTAACCTAGCATTGCTCTATAGTCATGACTTTTAAGGAAAGTCTTTAAAAATGAGGGATCAGCCCTGGCCGGGTGGCTCTATTGGTTGGAGCATCTCCTGTGTACCAAAAGGTTGTGGGTTCAATTCCCGATCAGCTTGTGGGTTTGATCCCCAGTCAGGACCATGTACGGGAGGCAACTGATTGATGTTTCTGTATCACCTCTCTCTCTCTCTCTCTCTCTCTCTCTCTCTCTCTCTCTCTCTCCCTCTCCCCCCCCCCTCCTGTCTCTCTCTCCCCCTCTCCTTCTCTCTCTCCCTTCCTCCCTCTAAACATGTCCTCTGGTGAGGACTAAAATAATTTTTTTTAAAAAAGGGTGGATCATACTATCTTATTACTGATTTGTTTCCTTTCTTGATTTCTTTGTTCTATCCCTTACTACATTTTCTTTTAAAAGATCTTTTATTGATTTCCCACAGAGAGGGAAGGGAGAGAGACAGAGTTTGAATCATCGATGAGAGAGAAACATCGATCAGCTGCCTCCTGCACATCTCCAACTGGGGATGTGCCCGCAACCCAGGTACATGCCCTTGACCGGAACCGAACCCGGGACCCCTCAGTCCGCAGGCCGACGCTCCATCCACTGAGCCAAACCGACCCCGGCGACTTACTACATTTTCTATTGCTTTTTCTTACTGACTTATAGATACCCTTTATATATGAACATCATTTATGTTGTATTTTCTTCTATTGCAACACTTTTCTAAAAATTCCTTTTACAGTGTAGTTGTTACATATACGTTTTTAAATTTTTATTAAATACAATTGCTCTTTTGCTTTACTACTTCCTGCATAGTATCTCTACACCAAAATTATAAAATATATTTTATTAGGGGGAATTTTTAAGTTCAGTTTCAGAAGTTTTAGTATTATTAATAGCTTTACCTCGATGACATTTTTGCAAGTACAAATCATCTTTACATAAAACTTCAGTTTATTTTTGTACTGAAGGAAACACAGCTTTTCAGCTGATCTACAATGAGGTATAAATATAATTTCATTTATGTATAGATATATATTTTAAATTCTTTTAAAAATATTTGAAATTATGTGTGCACACAGACCCTATTATCTACGGATTTCATTTCATTGTAGTAGTTGTTATATAAAGAGGGCATTGGGTCTGATGAGATTGAAAACCATTGGCTGACATGGAGCAGTGAGTTCCAATTGAGCTCTGGAGAGGCAAGGTTAAGAGTGCTATTGAATTTGCTTATGGTAGACCCTGAAAGTTAGGTAGTAGGAGAGTGACAAAGAGATGCCGGGCCAAGAGAGAAGCAGGAGGAAAATGGAACTGAGAGGCAGCCTGCTCCCTGGAGTTAACCAACCTAACCTTGCTGTTGGTGCCTGTTAAGAGACATTACCTAGGTGGGCCCATCAATGGGAAGTTCAAGGAAGAAGCAGGTAGGGTCCATGGAAGCTGTTGATGAGCTATCTGTTTTTACTGCCTGGATGTGAGGCAAGGCCCTTGGGCACATGGTAAGTCTTGAGATAAACTTAGGAACTGTCCCTAGGATTCAGTTCTGTTGTAGAATGCAGGGCTGGCTCTGTAGCTGTGACCTTGTTTCATGGGTTGGAGAGCCTCTGAAGACTTTTGAGCTGAATGTATGAGAAAGATAAATCTGATATTAAGATGTGATATAGTTTAGGTAAGACGGAACCTGGAGGCTGATAAATCAGTCATTCAAAGTAGTGCAGATTTGAAATTATGAGGACCCAGGTTCACTGGAAAGCAGTGACAAAAAATGATGGGTAGAGAAAGAATTGTCAGAACTGGGTGAATTATTGGTCATAGATGATTTGAGAGGAACATATTAATGGTTTTGAGTTTGAGTAAAAAATATGATGCCAGAGGGAGAAATAGTTTGTGACTGCCTGGAGAACTGCTTTTAACACTTTACAGTGTGAGGCGGCTGTTATCCAGGGGCTATCTCTACATTGTGGATTTCATTTCCCAAGGAGTCTTTAAACTCAGAGTTTGACTGCTCTGGAGATCAGAGAATGAAGCAGGGATTGTTGAAGCTTGGAGGAACTGATCACAAAATGACATTGCATTTTCTTTTGAATAAAATACTTAGAGGTTTTCCTAATAAAAACTGACTTCTGAGTGATTTTTGTGGATATAAATAACCCTATAATAAGGAGAAGAATTAAATTCTGGGTCAGTCTGTTTATTTGTTTCTCTTTTGCCTTCTCATTCCTGTCTTTCATAGTCTTAGTTTTTCTGTTATTTATGTGTGAAAACAAAACCTATCAACAATGCTCATAATCCTTCACTATTACTACTTCTTGAAATCTGTGCACATTAACTCCTCCGTGTGGCTAGTGGTAGAGCTTGAAATATTTAGGATGAAAGTGGGAGATGCTTGCGATGTGTTCGTTTTTACACTGATGAGGGAGTAGCATGGCCTGTGCAATTTCCATGCAACACTTTAATTTTAGTTTGCCTCTTTTCTGCTGTTTTGGTCAATTTCCTTATTCACAAAATGTCAACAGCAGGAAGATTTCAAAGTAGGAAAGCACTGTGCACAGTAGTGTAGTTTTCAAGTGGCTGCGTGCCACTTATAAGCTTACCTGGGTATTTAGATTTTAACACATAATTTTCACCTAAAGTGTAAGTACTTGTAAGCAAACTTAATCTTACCCAGATTTATGTCCAAAGGAGGACTTTGAATTTTATCTCATAGAGCTAGAGTGCTTAATGGCTTCATTCAGGTGCAGGTGCTTTGAAACTCATTCTATCTTTGATGGCAGCTTAGAGAATTAAAGAGCAGTGGTGAGGGCCAGCTTTTCTCTTTTGATTTAAAGTCTTTATTTGATATGGTCATGGTTTTTAATGGTACTTATAAAGAATCATGAGATAGGCTTGAAAGGGAGTAGATGGAATTTCTTAGGATTTGCCAGCTTTAAAACAACTTAAAAATGTATATTTTAAAAAAGTTTTATTGATTTTTTTTAAAGAGAGAGAAGAAAGGAGAGGGAAAGAGAGAGAGAAACATCTATTTGCTGACTCCTGCACACCCCCTACTGGGGATCCAACCTGCAACCCAAGCATGTGCCCTGACTGGGAATCGAACCAGTGACCTCTTGGTGCATGGGGTGATGCTCAATCCACTAAGCCACTCTGGCTGGTTAAAAATGTGTATGTTCTTACTCTGTGATATTATATTCTAGATGACCAAACATTTTTGGGGGCTAAGATTTCCTCAAACAAGGAATGTAAGTGGGTGAACCAGTTTGCTCCTTACGTGGATTCTTGAATATCTAATGGTTTTCTTAGGTAAGACTTATGCTTGATGAGAAATCTAGATATTTTAATAGAGAACAATTTAAAATTATGAATAGTAACAATACCAATCAACAATATTTAGTGTGTGCTTACACACCGTATATACACAGCCAGGGCCTAGTCTCACTTAATTCTCACTAAAGGCTTAAGGTGTGCAGTTTCATTATTTCTAGTTTAAGGTCAAGAAAGTAGGCCACAAATGGGCCAAGTCATTCAGCCAAGGCCACAGCTAGTATGTGTGGAGTTGAAAGTTGAATCCGGCCAGTCACACTCCAGAGCCTACACTTAACATTAAGCTATGATAGGGAGATTTTTAAGAAGAAAATTTGAGTTTGTACTGCATATTTGTTTCATACAGAGGGTTACATTATTGCCATTAAATTAAGGTAAGCCAAAAAGATAGATGGGGGGGAGGGGAGTGAATGTAAGGGAAAAGCTGGCTTATGAAAGTGCAGGCATATTATTCAATAAATATCGTGGGGCGCCATCTATGTAGGGCAAGCCAGGGTCAAAAAGAGTAAAGGAAACTGGCTCATCAGTGTAGCTAAGACACAGTCTAGGCATGGAGAAGAAAAAGAACCCCGTAGTGGTAAGCTGAAGAGTATGGAACTCATTATTTGAACATATTCTTTTTAATGCCTGTTCCAGTAGTCCCGTATGCTTTACCCGGCTTTCCTCTCTCTCCCTCTTTCCACCCTTTTCCAGAATCTGAGTCTTTGTTTGGTTTATTCCTAAGTTGATTTCACGTGCTCCCCTCCCCCCTCGTTTGTTCTATTAGAACTTCGGTGAAACATTTTAGATTTCTAATAAAAACTAACGTACCCAGGAAGGCAGAGGTAGATAGAAATTCAAGAGGAGATTAAGAAAGACAATATCTTTTTATGTGGAAACAATTAAACTGCTAGTAAAATGAATTATTGATCCTTTAATCGTTACTTAATTGTGTAATTATAATTTAATTATATAATTAAATATTTTAATAGCACAGTGAGTTTGGTATATAAATTATCTATGTTATTGATAGTATTTTTATAAAGTTGGTAATGGTATGACATAGAAAGTAAGGCTGATTTTAACTGAGCCTTAAAAATGTTGACTGCTATTTGATTTTTGTCATCACATCTATCTTACATCATAGCCTCTTTATTTTTGTTGTTGCTTTTTTATTTTTTTATTTTATTTTATTTTTTTAAATATATTTTATTGATTTTTTTATAGAGAGGAAGGGAAAGGGAGAGGGATAGAGTGTTTGAAACATCGATGAGAGGAAAATCAATCAGCTGCCTCCTGCACATCCCCCACTGGGGATATGCCGGCAACCAAGGTACATGCTCTTGACCGGAATCGAACCTGGGACCCT